TTTTTTCTGATTGTTCTTCTAGCATACTCAGGTATATGTCTTTATTTCCTTTTCACTCTGCATATTTCTTATTATTTTTAAAGGTTGAAAATGTAGAAGAAAAACTGTGCTTCAACATGTGCAAAAGGAAATACGCTGTTAAAGTCTGTTTATTCTCACCCCAACTCTAGTCTAAGTTCTTTCCAGTGCCCTATTAACCCTCGGGCATGTGGAACATATTTGCTCATCACAGTCTATTAGCTGCCACTGAGTAGGGGCCATGCCTCCTGGTGACCCTACACACAATGGTTAGGACCACTGTGCTCAATAGGGTTTGCATTGGCTGATATCTTGAAGTAGATCACCAGGCATTTCTTGCTAGTTCAGTCTTGTCTGGAAGTTCTACTGCTTTATTGTTGTTAGGGGCCATCAAGTCAGTACCAACTCATATTGACCCTATGCACAACAGAACTAAACACTGCCTGGTCCAGGACCAACCTCACAATTGTTGCCACGCTGGAGTCCATTGATGCTGCCATTTTGCCAGTCCATTTCGCTGGGGGTCTTCCTCTTTTTCTCTGACCCTCCACCTTACCAAACATGATAGCCTTCTCCAATGACTGATCCCTCCTGAAAGTATGTCTGAAGTATGAGAGATGAAGTTTGACCATCCTGGCCTCCAAGGAACACTGTGGCTGCACTTTTCCCAACACAGATCTGTTGGTTCTTTTGGCAATCCATGGCACTTTCAATATTCTCCTCCAATGCTATAACTCAAAAGCATCAATTCATTCTGTGGTCTTCCTTATTCACTGTCCAGCTTTCTCATGCATATGAGGTTATTGAAAATACCATGGCTTGGGTCAGGCGCACCTTAGTCATCAAGCTGACATCTTTGCTCTTCAACACTCTAAAAAGGTCTTGTGGAGCAGATTTGCCTAATGTAATATGTCGTTGGATTTCTTGATGGTTGCTCACATGAGTGTTGATAGTTGATACAAGAAGAATGAAGTCCTTGACAACTTCAATCTTTTCTCCGTTGATAAGAATGTTGTTTATTGGTCCAGTGGTGAGGGTTTTTGTTTTCTTTACA